CATTTCAAACAAAAACGACAAACGACAAACAACGTCAACAGCTGACACTGTTATGATGACATTTCTCTGTTGTTCACCTTTATACAGCGCCATCTAGCGGTTCCTGATTTTCGCGAATCCATCCCGTTAATTTCCCTAACATAACGGGATTCGGTAACGCTAATAGCGTTAGCGTGGTGATTTTTGACAGATAGCGTTACGTTAATAACGGAAGCGCAGTCAAAAGAACTCTCTAATATGACGTTGTCCCAGTTACTTTTCGTCACGATGGTAACGGGTCTTCAAAAAAAAGCAAATCAAAGTTGGCTATGGGTTTCTAAACGTATGTCTTAGCTTTATTTTTCCTAACCTAAAAATTGAGTTTTGTAATGTCAAAATGTCATGTCAAAAATCCTCACCAATAGGGCAATCCAAACAAAATGGTAGTCAATGCTTGGCCAATGCCAAAAAATTGGCGCCATACATTTAATTCAAGCAATCGTGACATTTTTCATCAAAAAACTGTTTTTTGTGTATTTTGTGGTGCTTTTAGATGATTTTCTAGTGTTTGAGAGGATAATTTTCGTATTCTAGGATGGAAAGTTTTTAGTTTAAGAAATTATTAGTAGAAAAAAGGCATTGGCCTCCATTTTGAATGCCATTTTGACAAGTCGTTGGATTGCCCTATAAAGAAATAATAATTCGACGTACGTTTTCGCATTCAAAGCACTCTCTGATTTGTTTTTTCTTTGAAGACCCGTTACCAAACGTAACTGGGACAGCATCACATTAGGTCTTGTCCTATAGGGCATGTCCATGTGACGTCACAAATGAGTTTGACAGTCGCCCTGAGGTAAAACAAATAATTTATTTACATTCGTTTAGATTAGGCCGGTTATGTTTTATGCGGTTTTCACAGCTTTTTCACAAGTTTTGGTGTTATTTTGTTTAAAAAAAGTTAGAGCGGAGTGTTTGTGTTCCAGTCTATGTGGTCTTTCATCTAAAAGTTTGCTAGGTTTTTCTATAATGGATTAAATTCAGGTTTTTTTCCAACAAATATCAAAACCAAGTGGCACAAGAACAAATATATAAGTATAGTTACTCTATATTCAATCTATTTTTCTGTCAGATCTTCTCTTTTAACAACATAAATCAATTTTTCTCTTCTTTCTTGAGCTAACAAATCGAACCTCCCATTGTTATTTAAAATTGATGGAAACCTATGGAAGAATATTATATTCTTTGCGCTATACTGCCACAATTAACGACTAAACAAACTCTAGGCACAGCTAAGAAACTTCTGGAGCACAGAGAAGGTATTTATTTGAAAAAATCTAACTAAAAACTTAAAAAACACTGTAAATTATATGTTTGTTTTACCTCAAGGCGATTGTCAATAGTGTCAAACTGTCAGATCGTGTACTTGCCCTATTATATGATTTTTTTGTCAAACTATGAATTTTAGGTTAGTTTAGCATAATGTCAGTGAATGTAAATGTCAAAAAAGTTCCCCAAATAGGTTAACTTGAAATAATTAGGCAATCCAATCCATCTGTCAAAAAAAAAATCAAGATGGCGTGTGGGCCTGGAATTTTGTTTTGTATGCGTATTTTCAATTCGTATGTTATTTTGTTTGCAAATTTTATATCCCAAACCAGTCAGAGCGAATTTTATTGATTGAAAACAGTCAGAAAACTAGTCTCGAGCAATAAAATTCACTCTCACTGGTTTGTGAATTCTGTGCGAACAGACTTTCAGTTGCCGCCAATAATGACAATGACAATAAGGGCGAGTATTATAAAACTACTTTGACAGTTAACTCAAAGTTAACTTCTGGAATTACATAAGAAGGAAGGAGTTAACTTTAAGTTAACTGTCAAAGTAGTTCTATAATACCCGCCATAAATGTCACAATAGCTATTTATGTACCAAGGGGATTATGTAGATTATAATGCCCGAAGGCGAAACTAGCCCGAGGGCCTATGGCCCGAGGGATATATTTCGCCTGAAGGGCATTATAATCTTAAAATCCCCGTGGTGCATACAATGCTTTATTTTCTACTCAACACAATGTTTTTTCATCAATTTATTATTAACAAAATCAGTTAAACTTGTGTGACAGAATATTGTTTTGTATTTTGAGATGTACCTGTACCTGTGACCTGTACCTGTACCTGCGACCTGTACATAGAAACGAAATAAATTAATATATCTATAAACATCTCATAAGGCAAGGCAACGGTGGTGGTCCTGTGGGTTAACGCGCTGGACTACATGGGAAACGTTGATGGTAGACCGGGTTCGAATCCTGGCTAGACCAAAAATTATTTTCGGTCAGACATTTAGTGGCTGCCTAGGGTAAAGTGCAAATTAATAGAACAACAACAACAAAAACACCTTAAGGTATTATAAGCGGGCGTTATAGATCATAACGCCCGCAAAAGCGGGCGTTATGGATCAGGTTGTTATAGGTGTGTTAACGTATTTCGTTTCCTAGGTATTATGGATCTATAATAGTAAAGTAGAAAATAAAATATTATATTTCGGGACGATATGCTTAATGCCAATGGTGGCTCCTCCTAACGCGCAAGCGCATGTGATCTGTCAAATGATAACGTCATTTTACATTACACCTAGAAAAGGAATTGAATTTGGTAAAAGTGCAGTATAGCCCGGTCACCTAGAATAGGGAATTTTCATATTTCTCAAATTATTTTTTTTTAGATACTTCTAGTCATCAGTTATAACATAATTTTCTTTTTTTCCATTTTAATTTATATGTTGTACAAAAAAAAAAAATATTGAAATTCAAATGAAATACTTTGGCGCGAAAACACGAAATTTCAATTTGACAGCGCTTGTGACGTTGAGATTTTGTAAACATAAAATACGCAGCAAACGAACTCTTGCTGACGCAGTGCTATTTTTGTGTTATTCAAGTGTGTTAAAGTTTGTTTTTTGTGAAAATTGTCGCAATGGATGAAGAAAATTGTGAAGGACTGCTTTTGTATTTTTTTTACTTGCAAATTCCCTATCACAGATTTCCCTATTGACGGGTTTGTTTACAGAATCGTGACGTCAAAACAGGTATTCATCATAGGAGCATTTTTTGGAGGGAGAATTTTTATTTCAAATTTATTATTATTTTTTGTGTAACAAGGGCGGTAGCAGTTAAATAAAAACTGGTCATATGAATATTGTGCAGCATAAACTATCGATTTAAAACAAATTTGGAAAATTTTACGTCACTTGCAAGTTCCCTATTGTATTTTTTTGAATAGGAATCGCTCGTTTAACGTTCAAATAGTGCATTTTGAAGGACATTTTCCAGCGGAAATCTTTAATAGAAAAACTACAAATTGAAATTATACTGAAAATATTCGTACATTTGCAACCGACCGAATACACTTTTTCCCCTAAATAAATATGCAGTATAGCCCGGTCACCCAAATAGTTTTTATTTAATTAAGAAAATCCAGATTATCCCAATCTAACCCAAACTAACCCGTCGTAGTGCTACCTCGTCCACATAAGTAAAATACCGTTTATTTTCAAACGTCATAACAGTCATTTATGTGATCATTTTGACAAGGTGTAAGTGTCACTTCAATGCCTTTCAGCTTGAGCGGCTTATAAATGTTATACTCCTCCTGCGGAATAACATTGCCGCTTGTCATACTTTCCCATAGCAATGTGAGGTAGTTCACCTGTACGTACAGGTATAGGTGCCTGAGCTGAAAAGGTGATCCTTCAAATTATGATTGTCATAATTTGAATGAAAAATTGTGCACAATTTGGAATAAAGGCGGCTACTCACATACCAATTTACAGGGGACGAACGATAGGGAAATCGGGTTTAGTCTCTTTAAATTCCAATTTTATCAGTAGAGTTGCCTTGCCTGGCCGACCTATAACCTCATTTAATTATCAATTGTCACATCGTTTCCGCAACTGTCCCACAAACTCATAAATTCGCAGGGTATCAGGGCGATTGGATCGAACTAGCACCCAACTAGCCGATATCGTGAAGTCGTTAAAAAATTGGAACGATTGCAACACACAAGAGACAATCCGCACCGCAGGGTCCCTGCAGATTGGACCCTGTAAATTGGTATGTGAGTAGCCGCCTTAAAGATCGTTTGAAAATAAAATATTGTATTTCATTCGGAGTATAGTAATCTTCATGTGACTTGCATGAATTTTATTCGTCTCGCTGCGCTCTGCGTTCAAATCCATGCGCGTCACATAAGTATTACTTATACTCCTAATAAAATAAATATCTATTATTATTGTAACCGACCTATACTGCACTTTTTTCCCTAAATAAATATGCAGTATAGCCCGGTCACCACAAAATTTATTTTTAGAATCCAGGAAAAAAATATATCTTAAGTGACCGGGGCATACCTACTGCCTATTTATTTAGGTGAAAAAGTGCAGTATAGGTTGGTTACAAATAAACGATATTTTACTTATGCGGACTAGCCAGCACTATACACTATACGGACGGCTTGGTTTGGGTTAGATTGGGATAATCTGCATTTTCTTTATTAAAAACAAAAAATATTTGGGTAACCGGGCTATACTGCATATTTATTCAGGGGAAAAAGTGCAGTGCATCATAGCTCGATTACGAATATGAAAAATTTAAATATCAACACACTGAACATGCATAACAAATGAAACGTTCGCTGAATTCGATGGAATCGAGATTTTTTGAGGTTATTTCCTCACAATGGCAGATAGCGCGGATTGCACTTGCGCATTAGGAGGAGCCGCCATTGGCATTTAGCATATCGTTACTTCGAACCTCTCCGCCATCTTAAATCTAACCTAATTTGGATTGCCTTATAGTCCAGGAGATTTATATGAACTTGTTTTGTCCCAGTTACTTTTGGTGACGATGGTACCTAACCGAGAAATTAATACTGTGCGACCTTCCCGTTCCTCCAAATTCCATTAATTTAACTAATAAGTGAGCGTGATAAATTGTTTGTCCGTAGATTGATCCGGCAACCATCATGGTTATGCCCGATGATACCTTGAAGATATTGTTACCAAAATTAGGCGATAGGATTGCCATTAAAGCGTACTGCAAAAAAGAGTTGGCACCCAAAAAACAGAGCCTAATTGATCGACTAAAATTGAAAATGTCGACTCCGGCGCCGAATAATTACACCGCACACAAAGCAAATTCCAATAAAAAAGTTAAAACAACGAGACTGATTGAAGTGGGTTGGGTTTGTTCAATAGACGGAGAAACCTATACCCAGGTGCGTAAGCTGCAAGGAGGTGGCACCCGACAAATTGAAATTGAAAAATCTGCAACAGTAGAAACTGTACATCAACGAGCCATTGAACTTTTCTTCCCTTTTGGCAAATCGACAAAAGGATATGTAGAAGATTTCGAAACAAGAATGGTGGACTTTTCGCTACAACAATTAGATAATGAGCTAACTATCGAGGATTATTTCTCTCGCACCGCTTTGACAAAGTTAAGGGTTTATTTGGCTTCTAAATTTATCAAAAAAGCATCTCCTCCCACTAAACGCACTAGGACGCGTACGGCTACTGGATCAATGCCCAGAAATGGAATTTTGTCAGATGATAAAAATACATCAGATGCGAGTGATGAAGAGTCTAGATCGCTTCCGAACGAGACAGACATTGAACTAATTTCCAATCGGACAACCAATCAAGACCCTAAACCGTTTCTGGGTTTGGGAACAAGTGATGACTATGCAGATATTTTCAATGAAGACGTAATCTATTCTTTCACTATATTGTTTTTATCATTATCTCCCCATTTTCTCAGTGCCACCTAACGACAATCAGCTGTGAAGGGGAAAACAGCACGAACCTTAGCGTACTCACTGATGACCGGAATAATTATCCTCACTGCCGTCAATCGTCTGAAGCTGTGATACAGACGGAAACATTCACAGAGGAAATTGCCAAAGAAGACCTAACTTTATTAGTAAATTCAATTCTTGACTGTTTCGAGACTCAGTCGTTACCAAACACCAACAATACTGAAATTTGTGAGCCTCAAACGATTTCTTCACTTTTGAAGCACTTACAACAAAACATCAACACCCAAAAAACATCACAGTTCAACGTATACAGGGAAGATATATTTGGATGTTGCGTTCGAGCAATGAGAAGAGCCGGATTTGATCCATTTAGTAAAATTTCAGTCAAGTTCAGTGATGCCGAAGGTACAAGCGAAGGTGCCGTTGATGAAGGCGGTCCTTGCAGAGAAATGTTCAGATTATCTCTCAACTGGTTGAAAGACAGCGGGATGTTCTGTGGTGCCCAGAAGAAAAATTTGAATCTTTGCGGAAATGCTTTGCACAAAAACATGTATTTCGAAGCAGGTCGATTAATCGTGTTATCGCTGATTCATGGAGGGCCAGGGCCTCATTTTTTCTCTGAAACACTATTCGCTCTCTTAAGCGGCCAGATTGCGATCCCAACACTTGACGATATTGATCGAGAAACAAGAGAAAAAATTACGCAATTTCAGAATGCCAAGGATCTTGATGAACTACAAGCAATAATAGCAGACAGCGATGTTTTTTCTCTTGCCGGATTTCCAATTATTGTCCAGGCAGAAGAGCGAGAAAAAATTGTCCAAGGTACATAAGATGTATAATATTATTTTAATACTGGAACTATTACTGAATCTGCTGAAATAACTTAAGCAGGACTCGCACTGAATCAACTCGGACCGATCGACTCGGCGAAGAGCAGTCGGCAGTTTTTGAAATACACGATATTAAATGAGGCTCCGCATACTGCGTCGACGTCGACTAATCCGACTCAGTGCGCGGGGCCTCATTTAATTAAATGAATGAAGTAGGAAGTGCGCGGCCTGCTTTGAGTACCTATACGATATTATTTTTAGGAACGCTACGATTTTTTGCTGTTGACAGAAATGGAGAACCGTTGCGGCAATTAATTGAAGGATTGAAGACGTGCGGTCTATATGAAAAGTTGAAGCAATATCCCAGTATATTCAAAGATATATTTTGTTCTGAAATTATCCTCTCTTCAAAAATACTTGAAGAACTATTCCTCATCGACTATACGGAACCTGGGACTAAAACCCGTAGTAGGGAAAATCGGGTGATTTCTTATTTCAGGGATTATGTATTGGATTTAGAATGTATGTGATATAACAACATGTATTTTTTTTGTTTAATATATAAGTTTTAGGTGACCCGACCAATACTGTAACACTTTCGGATATTTTAGTTTTTGCAACAGGATCTGATTGTCCTTTGCCTCTAGGATTTCCTTTTAGGCCCCAAATCATGTTTTTGCATGGAGAGCAGTCCCGATTTCCTATGGCAAATACATGCAGTCTTCATTTGAAACTTCCAGTCGTTCATGACAGTTACGAAGCATTCCAAACTGATATGAATTTTGCTATAAGTAACGCGAAAACATTTGGATTCGCTTAGGAAGGCTAGATCAATCGCTTGTTAAGTCCTTGTTAGTTAACAAAAACCTTAGATTGTGACAATGTCAATATGACATTATTTCTGTGTGGCACATTCTAAGGATATTGTTAGCTAACAAGAACTTAACAAACGATGGATCTAGCCACACTTAGTACTTGTTCTATTTTTCGTTTTTGTACAATGGCGGGTTTATCCAACAAATAAAATAAAATAAAAAAATAAATTAAAATAAGAAAATATGAGTTAAGAGGTATTATATGTAGTAGTTCTACCAAAAAAAACTAAAATAACAAATTTTTCCATTAAAAGCTCATATTTCTTTTTTTTTTTATTTGTTGGATAAAAACACCTAAACTCATATTTCTTATTTTATTTTATTTCTTATTTTATTTTATTTCTTATTTTAATTTATTTGGTTTATCTTAACCCACCTTTATTTTTAGAATTGGAATTTATTTTGTTAACATTTTTGTATTAGGCATAGGTACCTACTCTATTTTGTTTCACTGATAAGTTGAGTATCTATTTTCATAATTTTCATGTAGATATTAAAATTTAATGTTGAATAAAACCATATTTATGCATACATATATAGGGATTATTTTATTATAGGTACTTATATAGAAAAAATATCTAAAAGCTTTTGTCTCAAATTCTTGTATAATTCTATGGCTGCTTCTGGATGGTTGGTTTTGACCCATCCCTCTTCTTCCATAATTATCGCAGCCAACTGGTACACGTCATAATCTGAAGTGGTTCTGGGCTTGGGTATTGTCTCCAACCAAAGTTCTGCCATCTCTGTGCTTACAGGATGTAAGTAGTCGGTGGACATGAAATCTTGAGGTATGTTATACATCATGAATGGTCGTCCATGAGGTGCAATGCTATTTCTAGAACGCGTGATTCTATGCGTATTCCATTCTAAGACAATTGTATCAAGTTCCTCCTGGACAAAAAGGCTCAGGTTTATTTCTAATTATTTCCATATTCCATAGGTAATGTACCATTGCGATCAAAAAAGTAGAACAAAAATTATTAGCTCGGATTTGAGCTCCCGGTGTATTATACAAAATTTTGACAGTAAATGAACATTCCAAAGTTTTTGAAACGTAAACATAACCAATTTGTTCAATTTTTGACACTTACCTCACCTGCACCGTGGTGGAATGGCAGGCAATGACATATTAACAAAAGATAGACAGTACCAGACATTATAGACCAGGAGATTTTGGAAATTTTCGCTGTACAACTTTTTTTTGATCGCAATGGTAGGTATCGGGTCTTCAAAAAAAAAACCAATCAAAGATTGCTATGGTTTTTTGAACGTAGGTCTTAGCAATATTTTTCTTTAATTTAGACAATGTCAGTCAATGAAATTTAATGTCAAAATGTCATGTCAAAAATCCTGACCAATAAACAAACAATAATGCGACGTACGTTTTCGTAACCAAAGCAATCTTTGATTGTTTTTTTTTTGAAGACCCGATACCATCGTCACCAAAAGTAACTGGGACAAAACAAATTCATGTAAATCTCCTGGACTATTATTTCAAGTTAACCTAAAAATTTGGGGAACTTTTTTGACATTTACATATACTGACACGGTTGTAAAATTACCTAAAATTCCTAGTTTGACAAATATTTGACACTGAAAATCACATAATAGTACATGTGATGTTGTTCCAGTTACTTTTGGTGACGATGGTACCTAGTTGGTCCGCTGTATGGTTTCCTCTATTTGATATCTGACATATAGCATATAGCTAATATAGTTGAATTAATACCTTCCTGGAATGACGTCATTATTTGTTATCTTTGTTTAATTTACGTCAATTGACAGTGACAAATTTTAGTATAAATAGATAAGAAATACGTTATTTGCCACCAGCGTGACGTCATTCCAGAAAGGTAATGATTTAACTATACCACAAAACGCTACCCACAGAATGCTATTACTGATTAGCATTGCAAGCGTATTCTTTCTAGTCAATTTGCAGTGATCAAAGTGATATAAGTGAAAGTGATAGCGTTCTTCCAAGACCAATGTGGCTATGTGGCTTTCAAGTACAAGTGATCAGAATCAGTTGCAAGTGATCAAACTAAAAGTGAATATTTCACTCATGTATACATTTTCCCATAAGAGAAGTTTCAAATCAAAAAATTACAGCGGATATACAAAATCGAAAACATCAAAAGGAAAACACCGAAATGAAAATACCACGTCGTCAGGGCAACCAGTTCGAATTCTCTGGGTTATTAGAACAAAAACCGACTTACCTTTATAATATCTAAGAAGCAAAATTGAATTAATGATTTATCCATTAGGCTCCCAAAGAATGAGCCCTCATCCTTCAAAGTATGGAATACATTCATCCAAAATTGGGACTGATGCTTTCTTAAGATTGACCACCACGCCTCTATGCGTTGATTTGCATGACTTGTTCCATATAAAAATGCTGGAAGATGTGATAGCGCTTCCGTTCCATCCAGTTTTAAATTTGTCTGTATTCGTTCAATGGTGACATTTTCAGTACCCAAATCGGCTCGTAAAGTCTGAGGACATCCACCTAAAGTTTTAACTGCTCGCACAAAATGATAAGCAATTACCGAGGGGTCATTGGTGTTTGGTCCAGCTTTCAACCAGATAATGTAACGAGAAAATCCGTCTATGCACCCTGTTATACAAATTCCAAATGGCTTCAGTTTGTCGTAACCATCGGTATGCCAGAGAAAATTTGGCCCTTTATTGTAGTATTGTCTCCTTCGAAGACGACGTCGCTGACGTAGTGTAACTCCATCAGGATCCAAAATGCGTAACAGTTCTCTGACTGTATTTTGAGTCACAATGAATCCGTGCTGAAGACACTTAAGGTGCATCCACCTGTAGCCATGTAGCTGACCGTGTGTCGATATTTGTGTTTCCAAAAATCGTACCAGAATATTAATATCCGTGTAAATCCTTCTTCGAAATAAGCGAAGTCGTCTTAGGTGCCTTCGTAAATGACGTAAACTTAGAACATAACCGTCTTCTAGAAGACATGTCAAGATTTCTCTGTGACTTAATCCGATTTGAAAGTAGGTTTCAATATATTCGTCCATATTAACTCATGAATGTACTCCGTCGGCACAATAGCAACTTAACCACCGTTAGAACAAGGCGCACTTCTCACTACTGAATACGAACAACTAACACGTCGATGCCGTAAGGTTGTAAATCTCACATGCAATTGACAGATAAAGTGTAAATTTACAAAAAAAGTGAAATTTACAGAAAAAGTGTAAATTTACAGAAAAAGTGTAAATTTACAGAAAAATTGTAAATTTACAGAAAAAGTGTAAATTTACAGAAAAAGTGTAAATTTACAGAAAAAGTGTAAATTTACAGAAAAAGTGTAAATTTTCATGAAAATATTTTTTAATATTGGCATGGCAGCTATACGCTTTCGTAGGAAGGTGATAACGAGCTTGACAATCTTATAAAAATTTTTAACAATAATTTTCAACCTAATAATCAGATTCAAAATCTTGTTAATATGGCCAACCCAAATTATCAGCTTATTAGATACCAAGCCGCAATAATATTCCAAATTTTGATGGTAACACCAAAACACTTGGCAGATTTTTAACATCATGTGAACATTTTCTACAGAATCACCAAAATCGACAAAATGCCGCAGATCCAATAAACATCTGTTTGTTCGATACGGTAATTTGTAAATTGACAGGTAGAGCTGCCGAATTAATTGCTTCTCGCACGGAACTCGATACCTGGCAGAAAATTAAAGATTCGTTAATTGTCACATTTTCTGACCAAAGAACTGAAGATTGTCTTGTCCAAGATATCATTAATATGAAACCAGATAAGAACGAATCCTTACATTCTTTTGGATTAAAATTGCAAGATTCTAGAAGTTTATTATTTGCTAAAATTAATAGCTCTAACGATCCTAATAATATGAAAATTCTAAAAATCGAACAATTTGATAATCTGTGTCTAAAAACTTTTATTAACAACTTAAATTACCATATGCAGTTAGTGGTAAGACTAAAAGACCCAGATTCTCTTGAACAAGCTCTCGCATTTGTACGAGAAGAAGAGAATTTCATACAATATAGAAACAGGTCTAATCAAAGCTCAAGAAATATACCTAATAACAACGTCAATAATAAAAGTAAGCCT